TTTTTAAACTAAAGTTACGTCTAAATGAGTATATTTGTCTGGCGGCGTAAAATGGTTTCAAATAGATCAGGATTTATAGATCTAAAACATAATGCCTGTAAGAAAGCGTAGTTTAAATGGCGTGCGTGATAATGATAGAATTCGAAAAATTCAAGCGCAAATGTTTTGCATGTCATAACTAGTTATATATGTATAGTACCTGAATGGTAAGGAACAGATTTTCGAGTTTCTTACGTCATGTTTATAAATATTATCTTGCAAGCATACATTTTCTCTCTCACCAGTACAAAAGTCACTATAAATTATAAGTAATATAAGAGAGTGAAAAACAAAAAAACAAAAAAAAGTTCTGCCTCTAAGCTAAATCTAAATCTAATACAGAACAAAGCATTAGCGTTGGGTCTTATTACAGACTTAGCTACCTCAAAGCTAAATCTAGAGCTAATACAGAACAAAGCATTAGCGTTGGGTCTTATTACAGATTTTCTTTCATTAAGTCATTTCTTCTTTTACACTGAAAAAAAAATTACTGCATTCTCAATATCTTAATTAACTCAGTAATGAACATAAGTTGCTTGGTTGACACGTATACCAAATTACTTAGCAATTAGCGAAAAACATAAAGTTGAGAGTTTCCAAGATTAACTTTTAAACTTGCAAAACATGGTTTCAATTTACTTTTATATTTATCTTTAGAAAACGATAAAGCTTTATTAATGAGTTCGAAAATTAATTTTGAAATGACGAAATAGTCATCTGAAAAGTGTTATTAAACTGCTTTAAGACAGTTAACTGCTCTTCATCGAAGTAACGTTGAAAAACGTTAAACATTGTGACTTAAAAACGACAATAAACAAAGAAATATAACAATGGCAGCATATGTTAGTATAAATTGTTTCACAAAAAAATGTTTTTCAAAATTAAACGTACTCCTCTGTAAATTTAACTCGTTATTAAATCTAGGATCAACCTCTTCAGACTGTTAATCACTAAAACATATGAACAGCTTGTAAATCATAATCATGCTCATGAAATGAAGTATTTCGTTCTTAACTTTCGAACCATTGTGTGTGCAGTAGAATCCTTCAATGTCATACGATCTTCTAAGTCGAATTACTTAACACATTTTTCTTTTTTTACCATAAGTATGTCCTTCGGTGGGACAGCGGTAAGTCTACGGAATTACAACACTATAATCAGGGTTTCGATTCCCCTCGGTGGACACGGCAGATAGCTCGATGTGGCTTTGATATAAAAACACACACACCGTAAGTATATCTTTCTTGAACTCACGACTCTAGTGTCTGTTGGTAATACCTGATCAACGGCTAGAAATTGATCAGATGGACATATTATATAACTTTATAATTTTTTATAACTAGAAAATAATATAGTTTTAGCCAAGTATATTCGGGGATTTTTTTTTGTCATGCTTCTGCATCATCTCATCATACATTGCAAGTCATACCCAAGCGAAGGAGTTGTGCAGAGGTTTATAAAAGTTAGTATGAACGGGGAGTTCCCCCCCCCCCTGGAATATATATATATATATA